TATTTCTAAAGGAAATAAATGTCAAAATCAATCGTCAAATATTAGCAGATATAATAGAATTACATCACCTTCTGAAAGTTAGTATATTTAAATGAATGTTTAGCCATTGAGAAATATTAATTATTCTATTATTTAAAACTTATCATTGTATATTAAAATATTTAATTAGATTAATTATATATTATACTTAATTATATTAATTACATTAATCATATAAATTAATTTTTAAAAATATACTTACATAATTGATTTTTAGAACAGAACATTGTTGAATTGTATATACAGTCCATTTTACCTGATTAATCAAGTCTTAAGATTAATCGAGTCTTGATTAATCAAGTGTTATATTTGTTGTATTATTTTCTAATATAAATTGAATATAAATAAGATAAAATTTATAAACTTTAAATATAAATAACGACATAATAAGCAATTAAGTTTAAAGTATATGTGCGAATAACTTTTAAATATGTAATCTGATGTATTATTTTGTAGATTCGTCAAAGAATATGCAAAATATTGATGTTGAATATAACCGAGATACTACCGTGTTTGCTAATATGAATCGATGTTCATCATCGAGCTTGGAACTAGGTGCAAGAACAATGTCTGAAGAACAATTTCAAAAATATATGGTAGAACGAATGGAAAATTTAACAATTTTATGTGAGCAAAACAATGCCTGTACAAGTCGACTTCTACAAACTATGCAAACATTCTTAAATCCAACATCAAAACCGGATGGATTACCGGATTTACCATTGAAAAATGATAATGATTTCAAAAAATTGGAAGAACTATTATCTACTAAAACAGTGGATGCTAAGGGAGTAGAAGTATTCTCTCCAGCATACACTTATCTGGTATGGTTTAAAATAGTAATCACATTTACTTTTTTATGTTTATTATAATTATAAATTTGACTAATGCGATGAGATTATAATTTTTTATAGAAAGGACGTCTTTCTACAATTGGTGGTGCTGACCAAAGATCTAATGTAATGAATATGTTGAAATTTGTCATCACAAACGACTTAGCGATGACTTATAATTGGAAAGGACAAAAAAAGAAAAGTTTTGAAAATACTAAATTACGTGAAGTTATCACAGGTAATTTGGAATAATTATGTTATCAAATGAAATATGTAGTTTATGTATACTATTATATACAGTGCCCACCAAAAATTATGGGCCAGCTTAATATCTCAGAAAGTATGTATTTTTGAGAAATATGTTTTAGATAAAGATTATATTAAAAAGTTTGGTTTAAAAAGATCTATTTATTGATCTCTTCAGTTTGATCTTGAGTGACGTCGTCAAGGTCAGGTCAAGGTCACATCAATTTTTTTAAATGGCACATTCTATTTTTGATTCAAGAATTTAATAGCCGATGTCAAAAGTTTTTCAAAACGCTACGATGAAGTTCATTGTCATTACGTACTTTACGAGTTATAAGGCTTGAAAGTTACAATATCGCCGGCATTAGCATTACGCAACCGACGGCTAAAACTTTTTGAATGTTCAGGATCATGTTCTGGATAACATTTGTCAAGATTAAGGTCATTGGAGATTGTTTCTCTTATTTTCATTTTTACGTAAAAATGAATTTTCAGTACAAAAATGAAAATAAGAGAAACAATCTCCAATGACCTTAATCTTGACAAATGTTATCCAGGACACATGATCCTGATAACATCAGATATATATATATATACACACACATGTGCATTCATGTATATACGTATAAATATATATAGCTCAATCAACATAATCGAAATTTATTTTTTACAGATGCTGCTAAAATCCAATTTAAAGGAAGCAATTCTTCTGATCAATGTATTAAAGATGCCATACAATCATGGCTAAAGTTAGCCAAAAGTCGTTATGTGTATAACACAAACCCAAAAGGACAAACAAAGAAAAAGGACTGATTAATAAGAAAAGAGGCAACTAATTTTCTTATATATCTTCTATAATAATTTTTTATATATTCTTTCTTACAGGGTGTTTTGAACCGATTAAATCACTCGTTATGAGGTAGAATGGATCGAACTGAGTCGAAAAGTCCTCTACCATTTCGCAATTTTCGCAATAGTTAACAAGATATTATAATTACTAAAAATAGCCGAATATTGATTTTCAATAACTTTTTCTCAAATACTATTAATTTTACTCAAATACTATTAATTTTATTAAACTTACAGAAAAACTGTAAGAAACAAAAATTGTTTATTTTCTTCTCATAAAGTTCTGAGAATTTTTTCAGAATTTTTTAATACCGTATTTTCTCATGACAATAAAAATAAGAAAATGCAGTACTAAAAAGTTGATAAAAATTCTGAAAAAATTATTAGAATTCTGTGAGAAGAAAATAAACAATTTTTATCTCTTATAGCTTTTTATAAAATCGATAGTATTTGAGAAAAAAATTATTGAAGACCAATATTCGGCCATTTTTAATCATTAATATCTTGTTAACTATTGCGAAAATTACGAATGGTAGAGGACTTTTCTACTCAGTTCCCCTCTACCTGCTCATCACAAATGACTTAGCGATGACTTATAATTGGAACGAACAAAAAAGAAAAGTTTTTTTGGGGTGATTTAATCGGTGCAAAACACCCTGTATATTTTTATATATTCTTTTTATAATATATCTTTTCAAAAGAAATGTTACGATCAAAATGTATTTGATGTTATTTTATTTTATATTTTTAAAATATTATATTTTATATTATTACTTACTGTAATATTAAATTACTTTTATATTATTACTCAGATTAATAATGTGCGAAAATACATGTGCAATACATGAGCAATACATGAGAAATCTTAATAAAAAAAAATATATCTTAACAAAAGAAAATATTTACTCTTTTATAGTCTCTTTCCTTAAAAAAATGTCTATTTACAATTTAATGCCATTTGCTTGATACAAAACACAAACTTGCTTACTTTAAATTAATTTTCTTAAAAATATATACATATTTAAAATACATTGTCCTTATCATTCTTTTAAATAATTTTTTTTTTAATAGATCGACATATATATATATTATATACAAATTCAATTTAATAAGAAAATATCTTTTTCTATACATAATATATATGCAGTATTTACTTATTAAAGTAAAACTTCTTTTTTTAATGTAATGATTTTGAAAGTGAAAGATATGTTTTGATTATTTGTATATAATACGTTTATTCAAAAACAAAGGTTTAAAAAATGACATGAACAACATATTTTAAATAATCATTGTAAGACGTTTATATGTATATACTTGTCATTCGTAAAAATTATGCATTTGTAAAATGTAGTTTATCCGTTTATCAAATACAATTTAAATCGGTTGAAGAATAACGTTTAAAAAACGAATGAAAACAACGTTTAAAAATCGGATGTGAATAATGTTAAAAAATCGGACGTGAATAACGTTTAAAAACCGGATGTGATTAACGTCAAAAAAACGAATTAGTATAATGTTTAAAAAACGAATGAAAACAACGTTTAAAAATCGGATGTGAATAATGTTAAAAAATCGGACGTGAATAACGTTTAAAAACCGGATGTGATTAACGTCAAAAAAACGAATGAGTATAATGTTTAAAAAACGAATGATAACAACGTTTAAAAACCGGATGTGAATAACGTTAAAGAAACGAATACATATAGTTTATGACAACGTCTATCAGCCGGACATCACAACTAAAATTATACGGAACTGATATACGTTGAATCTACAACATTTAAACCTATGGTAAATACTTGATTTAAACGTATAATATACCATCTTGTGTTTATTGGGCATCCAATCCGGATGACACGCCGGCCACAGCAGTGCAGAGGGGACCGTGCGAGCAGCCGAAAGGACGCCAGCCTGGAATCAAATCCCGCGCGCTCAAGGATCTAGGGCGAGCGACGCTATAGTAAGTCGTGAGGACTCGCGCAAGCTCGCGAAATGGCCCGCGGCCAATCAGGGCCGATAAGGATTATCACGTGGGCCCACGGTCGCCTGCGCGCTCCCGAAGGGACCTCGGGCCCGACACTTGCGCTGTGGATACCGGCCCGATAAGACGTGTGGGAGCACACAGGACGAGGACTAAACTAGCGAGTACAGAGAGGATTCTGTGGTGAGACGAACTTAACTTTTTGTAAAGCCGCCGATTTCCGA